CCTTGGGGACACCTTGGGGATGTTGGGGTGCCATGGGATGCCTTGGGGACACTTTGGGGACATTGAGGTGCCCGAGGTGAGCAGGGACCTTTAGGAACATTGAGGTGCCAAGGTGACATGGGATTCCTTGGGGACACCTTGGGGACCTTGGGGATGTTGGGGTGCTGAGGGGACTGGGGACCTGGGGGACACCTTGGGGATGTTGGGGTGCCATGGGATGCCTTGGGGACACTTTGGGGACATTGAGGTGCCCGAGGTGAGCAGGGACCTTTAGGAACATTGAGGTGCCAAGGTGACATGGGATTCCTTGGGGACACCTTGGGGACCTTGGGCATGTTGGGGTGCTGAGGTGACCGGGGACCTTGAGGACCTTGGGGATGTTGGGGTGCTGAGGGGACCGGGGACCCTGTGGACATCTTGGGGACCTTGGGGATGTTGGGGTGCTGAGGTGACTGGGGACCCTGGGGACACCTTGGGGACCTTGGGCATGTTGGGGTGCTGAGGTGACTGGGGACCTTGAGGACATTGGGGATGTTGGGGTGCTGAGGTGACCAGGGACCTTGGGGACACCTTGGGGACCTTGGGGATGTTGGGGTGCTGAGGGGACCGGGGACCTTGGGGACACCTTGGGGATGTTGGGGTGCCATGGGACACCTTGGGGACACTTTGGGGACATTGAGGTGCCCGAGGTGAGCAGGGACCTTTAGGAACATTGAGGTGCCAAGGTGACATGGGATTCCTTGGGGACACCTTGGGGACCTTGGGGTGCTGATCCCTGGGATCTTTGGGAGGGCACGGGATGGAGGAGGGGACAGTGGGGGATTCTGGGGGATCCCTGGGGACACTGGGATCCCGGGGGGGTGTGTGTGTGGGACCCCTGGGGATCCCTGAGAGACTCCTGGGGATCCCTGGGAGGGCAGGGGGATCTTGGGGGACAATGGGATCCTTGGGAGATCTTGGGGGGGGCAATGGGATCCCTGGGATCCTTAGGGATTGCTGGGGACACTGGGGTCGTGGGGCGGTGGTGGGGTCCCTGGGAGATCGCTGGGGATCTCTGGGAGGGCAGGGGGATCTCGGGGGACAATGGGATCCTTGGGAGATCTTGGGGGGGGCAATGGGATCCCTGGGATCCTTAGGGATTGCTGGGGACACTGGGATCCCGGGGGGGGTGTGTGGGGGACCCCTGGGGATCCCTGAGAGACTCCTGGGGATCCCTGGGAGGGCAGGGGGATCTCGGGGGACAATGGGATCCTTGGGAGATCTTGGGGGGGGCAATGGGATCCCTGGGATCCTTAGGGATTGCTGGGGACACTGGGATCCCGGGGGGGGTGTGTGGGGGACCCCTGGGGATCCCTGAGAGACTCCTGGGGATCCCTGGGAGGGCAGGGGGATCTCGGGGGACAATGGGATCCTTGGGAGATCTTGGGGGGGGCAATGGGATCCCTGGGATCCTTAGGGATTGCTGGGGACACTGGGATCCTGGGGCTGTGCTGGGATCCCTGGGAGATCGCTGGGGATCTCTGGGAGGGCAGGGGGATCTCGGGGGACAATGGGATCCTTGGGAGATCTGGGGGGGGGCAATGGGATCCCTGGGATCCTTAGGGATTGCTGGGGACACTGGGATCCCGGGGGGGGTGTGTGGGGGACCCCTGGGGATCCCTGAGAGACTCCTGGGGATCCCTGGGAGGGCAGGGGGATCTCGGGGGACAATGGGATCCTTGGGAGATCTGGGGGGGGGCAATGGGATCCCTGGGATCCTTAGGGATTGCTGGGGACGCTGGGATCCTGGGGCGGTGGTGGGGTCCCTGGGAGATCGCTGGGGATCTCTGGGAGGGCAGGGGGATCTCGGGGGACAATGGGATCCTTGGGAGATCTTGGGGGGGGCAATGGGATCCCTGGGATCCTTAGGGATTGCTGGGGACACTGGGATCCCGGGGGGGGTGTGTGGGGGACCCCTGGGGATCCCTGAGAGACTCCTGGGGATCCCTGGGAGGGCAGGGGGATCTCGGGGGACAATGGGATCCTTGGGAGATCTGGGGGGGGGCAATGGGATCCCTGGGATCCTTAGGGATTGCTGGGGACGCTGGGATCCTGGGGCGGTGGTGGGGTCCCTGGGAGATCGCTGGGGATCTCTGGGAGGGCAGGGGGATCTCGGGGGACAATGGGATCCTTGGGAGATCTGGGGGGGGGCAATGGGATCCCTGGGATCCTTAGGGATTGCTGGGGACACTGGGATCCTGGGGCGGTGGTGGGGTCCCTGGGAGATCGCTGGGGATCTCTGGGAGGGCAGGGGGATCTCGGGGGACAATGGGATCCTTGGGAGATCTGGGGGGGGGCAATGGGATCCCTGGGATCCTTAGGGATTGCTGGGGACGCTGGGATCCTGGGGCGGTGGTGGGATCCCTGGGAGATCGCTGGGGATCTCTGGGAGGGCAGGGGGATCTCGGGGGACAATGGGATCCTTGGGAGATCTTGGGGGGGGCAATGGGATCCCTGGGATCCTTAGGGATTGCTGGGGACACTGGGATCCCGGGGGGGGTGTGTGGGGGACCCCTGGGGATCCCTGAGAGACTCCTGGGGATCCCTGGGAGGGCAGGGGGATCTCGGGGGACAATGGGATCCTTGGGAGATCTGGGGGGGGGCAATGGGATCCCTGGGATCCTTAGGGATTGCTGGGGACACTGGGGTCGTGGGGCGGTGGTGGGGTCCCTGGGAGATCGCTGGGGATCTCTGGGAGGGCAGGGGGATCTCGGGGGACAATGGGATCCTTGGGAGATCTTGGGGGGGGCAATGGGATCCCTGGGATCCTTAGGGATTGCTGGGGACACTGGGATCCCGGGGGGGGTGTGTGGGGGACCCCTGGGGATCCCTGAGAGACTCCTGGGGATCCCTGGGAGGGCAGGGGGATCTCGGGGGACAATGGGATCCTTGGGAGATCTGGGGGGGGGCAATGGGATCCCTGGGATCCTTAGGGATTGCTGGGGACACTGGGATCCCGGGGGGGGTGTGTGGGGGACCCCTGGGGATCCCTGAGAGACTCCTGGGGATCCCTGGGAGGGCAGGGGGATCTCGGGGGACAATGGGATCCTTGGGAGATCTGGGGGGGGGCAATGGGATCCCTGGGATCCTTAGGGATTGCTGGGGACACTGGGATCCCGGGGGGGGTGTGTGGGGGACCCCTGGGGATCCCTGAGAGACTCCTGGGGATCCCTGGGAGGGCAGGGGGATCTCGGGGGACAATGGGATCCTTGGGAGATCTTGGGGGGGGCAATGGGATCCCTGGGATCCTTAGGGATTGCTGGGGACACTGGGATCCCGGGGGGGGTGTGTGGGGGACCCCTGGGGATCCCTGAGAGACTCCTGGGGATCCCTGGGAGGGCAGGGGGATCTCGGGGGACAATGGGATCCTTGGGAGATCTTGGGGGGGGCAATGGGATCCCTGGGATCCTTAGGGATTGCTGGGGACACTGGGATCCTGGGGCGGTGGTGGGGTCCCTGGGAGATCGCTGGGGATCTCTGGGAGGGCAAGGGGATCTTGGGGGACAATGGGATCCTTGGGACATCCCAGGGGGTCAATGGGATCCCTGGGGACACTGGGATCCCGGGATGGTGGTGGGATCCCTGGGAGGGCAGTGGGATCTTGGGGGACAATGGGATCCTTCGGAGATCCGGGGGAGGCAATGGGATCTCGGGGGATCCCCCAGGGATTGCTGGGGGGTCCTTGGGAGGGCAGTGGGATCTCGGGGGACAACGGGACCCTATGGTGATCCTGGGGGTCAATGGGATCCCGGGGGACACTGGGATCCCAGGGGGGTGGTGGGATCCCTGGGGATCCTTGGGAGATTGCTGGGGATCTCTGGGAGGGCAGGGGGATCTCGGGGGACAATGGGATCCTTGGGAGATCCCGGGGGTCAATGGGTTCCC